TATTGTTCTCTACTTAGGGCTCCATAGTAATTAGCAAGACTTCATCTGGTTTCCTGCTCCACATTAGAGCCTCGAGATCAAGCCCAGACCTCTCACTCTTCAGGAGTTTGGGTCTCAGAGCCAGTCACTGCAATCCAATTGCTCCCCCAAAGCTGCTTCTGCCACTGTGTCACTGCAAGAAGTGCAATTTCCAGTTTCACTGACAAACTGTTCCCAGCTCTGGATACATCAGCAGTGTGGATAAGTCAAGTCCAAAATTCAGCAGAAAAGAAAAGGATAACTGAGAAACAAATGCAATTTCCCCTGTGATCTTGTAACGTACTACAAAGATTCTGAAATGTAGCAGATGTGAATTACAGTCTCATTCTGACACAGTCCTTTCTTTATTTCTCATTCTCACTCCATAGTCACAATTCACTTTCTTCGTATCACTAGCTATAGAATGTGAACCTGAGAAGAAGTGAAAAACTGGTTGCCCATTTTCTGCACTGCAGATTAAAGCATCTCCAGCTTGAAGACGAATAGAGAAATTAAGACAAGTAGGATCAAATTTTTTTTTTTAAAAGTAACATTTTGCACTTTCAGTTCTTTTTTTTTTTTTTTTATCTGCTATACATTTCTTTCAACTTATTTATTTCCTGCTTTGTGAGCTTTTTCTCATGGTCTCCCCAAATTTACCTTTATTTCCTACCTTCTTCCTCCTTTCACATTCACAACAGCTTACTGAAGCATTACAATGTCATAGTATTGTTAAACTGCAGAATTAGAAGTGCAGACTGGCTCCAACTGGCCTTAGTCCTTGCAAAACTATTTTACTTCCTGCAAACTACAACAATTGCTGCTAAAAGCATTCAAGGACATCTCTGCAAGCCTCTTCTGTAGTGAAACTGATAGAGGCTCATTTCTACAGAGAGAGATTCCCAGAAATGAAGCACTAGCCTACGCTTGCAAAAAAAGCTACAGTAAACGATATCTTATGAAACTGAAGAAATATTGCAATATGAGATTTCACCTTATTTCTCCATTTACAGAGGAGAAAGACATATATATTTTTTGTATCAAGTGATTTGTTGTTTAAATCACATAAAACTGAAGGAAATCGTGCTCGCATATGTCACGCTGCAGCTGTGCTTGAGTTTCTGCTCAGGTTCCTGGAGCCAGCAGCACCCACAAAATCTAGAGGGATAGGATTTTCACTTGAGCCAGGTGGTCTTTATGCCTGAGTCACTCCTCCTGGAAAATCTTTGGCTCAACCAATTTAGACAAAGTGAGATTTAATGTGTAGGTGCATCATGTATGAGTTCTGGCTCAAGCAAGATAAAGTCTAGAACACATAGCCAAACACCATTCTAGCAAACCTATCCCCACTGTATACGTGGAAACTTATGGAGGCTTGGAACTACCTCGCAGTCTTTAGCATAACAATTATTGGACCATAGACTATAGACATCTTTGAAAGCAGAATGTTCTTCATTCAGTTTTCCTTGTACAGGTGACAGAGAATTGCTCAGAATTTGCCAAAAACTGCTGAAGCTAGGAATCTCTGATGGAATTTCACAAAATTATTTGCATTACATTACAGGGAGATAACACAATTGGCTTTTCTCTCATAAATTAAGACTGACCTTCAATTAAACCATGACATGCAAAATTCACACGCGCGCGCACACACATACACACACACACAGAAAAAAACAAACTAAAGAAAACTTGATCAAACTTTCTTAATTTTCAGAAAATTCTCTTTCCCAGCATAAAAAGTCCTACGTACATTTTATCTATCTGCACACAAACTGCTACTGTATGAGGAAGAGCACTATTCTGTCCCATCATCTTTCTCCCAATGGCTAAAAAGTGATTTACAGAAATGAAGACTTTTTATATGTCTGAAAGACAAAGCAGTGTTATAAGGTAGGATACGGAAGAAAATTGAATTCAATTTCTAAAAGGTGCATTAGAAAATATGAGTCAAAAATTATGTTTCAGGATCGCTTAAAAACAGCTTTGGGACAGCTTTGCAACTGTAAGAAAATATAGACATTACTTCCCCATTTAATCTTGGAAACAAAAAATAATACTGTTGGTGGTGGTAACACACACCCAAATTTAAGTCAGGGAATTAAATAGCTGCAAGTATGGCTGACATTTCACACTATTATCACGTTTCTCTAAGAGGACACATTTGACATTAAAAATTTAGATATTATACAGATGTGTGTTTAAAGCAGCTGAATTTAGATATCACAGGAAAAATATTTTCTAATCAATTTCCTTATGAGAAGACAGTAGGAAGACAAGCAGCAGCAATTTGTACATTTATGTTCTTGTGTCACAGGTTTTGACACAACCTGTTTTTTATTTTCTGTTTTGTTGTCGAACAAGTGAGTGAATACAGGATGACAGAAATAGCATGTGTTCTTAACCAACTTGCTGTTTCAAAACAATGCTGGGAAGCTGCTGACACATCAATATGTTTCACTTGTACAGCAAAACTGCTGAAAGTAACGCAGGGAACACCTTTATCTACAGTTTTAGATCTACTCACCAAAATCCTTGGAAGAAGCACCAGGATCCAGACAGCAGGCTTTCTCCAGGGGCAGTGAACACTAAACCATCCTGACAAAGCTCACCTCACAGCCTTGGATCAGTCCTGCGTACCCAGCATCCACTCATTCCATCCAGCTTGTCTCCTGGTTAATGTCATCGCTGAGGAGGAACACATTCAAGAAGTGGTATATCAGTAACATGAAGAAGTTCACACTGGAGTTTAGGGCTGCACCTGGAATGCTACTACTACGATTACAAAACAGGTAATCCAGAACAGTGAGAACTTTCAAACAGGAGAAGAGTAGAAAAGGTGTTTTCTATCCGTAATGCTAGTGCTAATATCAAAGCGCTAGTGCATTAATATCAGAAAACTTTTCCCTTTTACTCAATTCTTATAAAAACAAAACATTCTGACCTTCCCTCACACTAAAAGTTCATACAAACGTCCATGGTGAGAAATAAATATTTTAACTGGCTTCTGATAACACAGGTGATTTATGGATAGCTAATCCTAAATGCCATTTACAATATCCTAAAAGGGATATAGATGCCAAGAACTACAGGGAAATGGTAGGAGAGATATAACCATCATCACATCTTAATTTCATTTATTTATACAGTGCAGGTCTTTACGTTCAAGAGAATGTTAAGACAATCTTCAATTCTTTTCAATTGAACACAATTTTCAGTCCAGGATATTCTAAAGGAAGTCCTAAACGTGGCTATCGAATACATTCAAGATGTTCAAGGAAAGGGAAAATATTTTACAGTCAACTTGGAAACTCCAGGTCAGGCTTCATAAATATCAAAGACTCGCAGAGAGAAGCTAACTGCCTTCGATTTCCTACAGGAAATTTTTCCGGATGACATGCTGAACAATGACCATTTAGAGGAGTTTATAAAATCTGCTATAAGTTTAGCATGCATTTTACTAAATAAGCAATTAACAGCCACTGTTCTAAGCTCAGTAAAGATCTCTGCTGAGTGTGCATCTATGGTTAAAAAAACAGGTTACCAATCTGAGAGTAGCTGGATTCAAAGAGTCTGTGAAGTGCTGCATGTTTGGAAGAGATGTCTTTGCCACTGTGCTGACCATCATTACCCCTAACTTAGCTGCGCTTGCCTAGACAGGAGTAAGACCACGTGTCAAGTTGGATGCAGGATCTTACCCAGTTAAAAGTGAGCCCAACAGAAAAGAAAAATAAAAGGGTTGGGAGCATGAGATATTAGTACTCAGTAAGTAGCCAACTTTCCATTTCACCTACCATAGGTGAATAGAGATGGGAAGTATGAAATATCCTCTTTCAGTATAAGCTGGACTTCGTTGACCTTAGACAGCCATACCCCATAATATGAGGTTATACAAAGAATGAGATGCAGAATAATACAAACAAAACTATTATTTCATTAAGGTAAAAAAAATGATGGGGCTTCACTTAGAATATTAAATACCAGATTGATGATCACCTACGAAAGGTGAAGTTACACTAGTAGTTTTCAAGAGGATTATAGAAACTACTGACAAATGAAAAACATTTCTCAACATAAACGCTTAAAAGAGATATTTTAGTGGTGGTTTTTGTTTTGTTTTTTCATTGAGAAAAAGACGGAATTGCATACATTAATGAACAGTAGAAAAATGGCAGATTACAAACTATTGTCTCCCTGTATTGCATCTCAGAAACAAGTGGACAGAAGTATCTCAAACAGATCAAAGGAAATACTTCTTACAAAGTATGTAATTAAACTCTGCAACTGTTATGCACAGGAAGCAATTGAGGACAGTACTTTAGCAGGAGTCATAAAGAGACTGGACATTTAGACAAATGTCCAATGCTAGTGATTTAGAAGAGAGCTTATGCCTGCAGATGTAAATTTAAGCAATTTAGATTGGAGAGAGAGAGATGCTTAATACCTTAAAAGCGTATGGCTTTTAAGCCTGTGGCTGCCTTCAGGGGTGCTTCTTACATCTTTCCTAGAAACTTCGGTTGCTGCTTATTAACAAAGAACCGTTCAAATGGTTTTTATTTCATCCTGTATAGCAATTACATTGTTCATTATGAAGTAAACGAAGTTAACTTATGAAGGCTCTGTAACACAGAGTTACAGAAAAAATTAAGATGAGGTGACCACAGGAAACCATCAAGTCCACAGCCCTGCTTAAAGCAAAGCTAAATTTAAAGTTAGGTTAAGTTACCCTTGGTCTTATCCAGTTTGATTGCAGAAATCCTCAAGGACAGAAGTCCTACTGCTGCTCAGTAACCCATTCTGGGTGCTGAACCATCCTTACCATGAACAATTTGTTGCTCACATAAAACTGGAAATTTCATTGTTGTATCTTTTGAATATAATCCCTTGTCTTTTTATTGTACATCGCAGACAACACACTGTTCTCTCTAGGCCCTGGTAGGTGGAAGAATATAGAAAGACTATGATAAGACCAGAAAACGCACTTTGCCTTTCCAAGACGTGTTTTTTAACTGTCTGACGGAGGCATAAACATACCAGTAGATTACAAACTCCAACTTGCAAAATAGATTAAATGACATGCAAAAGTAGGCCAACTCTAGCTACAAAGTTTCTCATACTTTGGCTTTTAAACCTTTAGTCAGTATATTCTCCAAAAGATCAATGATTTTAATTCAGTCTAATTGTGACCTCTTTAAAGTTAGTAAATCCTACAGCATAATTTCTAGAAAATTACCAAGAATTGCATCAATAACATATTATATGAAATTTAAGGTGCACAGCACTACATTCCATTTCTCTAGACTGCAGATTTCTGTCTCTTTCCAGGAGAAAATTGGAACTTAAGGATGGATCTTTTTAAAAGACACTCAAATCACACACTTCCCAGATTTCTGTGCTTGACAGTTTTAACTGCAAGAAAGATACAACTAAAAAGAGTTATTCATCATTTAACTACAGGCAGGGATGTTAATTTTGTGATTCAGAATTGACACCTTTTCTTTTCAAGTGTCACAGACTGGAGCTCTGATCACACGCTCTTAACAGGCACCAACAAAAGGAGCTCGTTTCATCTTTGCTGCATGCTGTTGGTTTATTGTTTCATGTACCCATTTTGATACATCATACAAAATGCTACCTTATTTTTGAAAGTAATTATCCAATATGCTTACATTTGCTTTAAAAAAACAATTTGAATGTTAAACATCTAAGTGAGAATTCTTCAAATGTGAAAGTAACTCTGATTACTCATTTGTACTACATTAACTACAGTAATTGGCAATGCAGACTGCACGGACAACTACTCCCTAATAGATATTGCAGATTCAGCCCTCCACTTATACTTTGTGGGATCACTGTCAAATCCCTCCCTCCTGCTGTTGACAGCTTGCAGCAATACTGTGTAGAGTTCCTCATGTTACATTCTCTTAAGTCCATGACATTATCTAGAAATCTAGATAGTTTAGTGTTGAAAGATTGCACAAACTTTCTCTAGGTTTCCTCCATTTTGAAAAGATGACAAACCAAAATATAAAACAGAAGCTCCAAACTCCCAGACATAATCCGTGCAGGATATTGAACCCTGCAAAGTGGTGTTTTACTGCCCTGCAAACAAGGATGCCGTGAATGTTGTGAATTTTCATAATATCAAGAGGCAAAACAAACAAAATGAAAAAAAAATCCACTGCAAATTACTGAATGCAGAGAAGCAAACTCAAAAAGGCCAAGTTTCAAAAGAGCTGGAAGTGGGGAGTGCATTTGGAGAAGATGTTACTGTACACTTCATGTTTCCATAGCAATTTTAGGCATTAACTTCTGCCCACTTCTGGTTAAAATATCTTGGCCTGACCTAGTATGGTTGCTTTTAGACTTCATGTCATAGTTTATGTAGTTTCCCTTTGACTGTCTCTTTCTGGAATTGCTCTGTTGCCTCCTTTCCTGGGTCTGGTTCTAAATTGCATACATTCATAGAAAATAGCAGAAAGCTTGGGGATGAGCCAGCATCAGTCTCAGCTAGTACTTGCATTCACTTCACAATTCAATCATGCCCAAGACTGAGCAGATGGATAATCCATTAGATCACAATCCAATTGACTTGTCTCTGGAACAAGAGGACTTCGCTAACAACAACAACAAAACAAACAAAAAGCTACCACCACCACCAACAACAACCTTTAGATACGGAAATAAATTCTCTTATATCCTATACATTTCTTTAGCTTCTTCTACAGCTATACTACTTTTTTGGCTGGTAGACAAAGTACGAAGAGAACTGTTTTCCCATGTTCTTGCTTTTTACTTAAATTTAGACAACCTGGGAAGAGTGGTTTATGCCAACACCATCACAATTTCTCAAAAGAAACAATGTTCTTTAATCTGCTCCATCCCTGTTCATTTATCAGCATGAATGCCATTCTGATTACAAACTAGAACAAAAGACAACAACAGTGCGGTGCCAGTATTGTTGTATATGAGAAGGATTTTTTTCTTCCCCTTTTTCATACAGTTTATCTACAAAAACTAAAATTATCTCCCTCAAATGTTTACGTCTATATGCTTTTTAGGCACTATGTCTATAGTGCTTAAATGAATCATTCAACTGGGAAGAATTATCCCGTTTTACTCACTTTAGTGCTACAGCACTTGGATAAATAGAGGGAAAAATACAATCCTAAATTTTACTATATTTTTCTATATTTATTGTCAGTTTAAAAAATGTAGGCAGTCTTATTTCCATTTTATTTTTATTTCTGATATTGAAGCAAGAAATCTATTATTTGTGGGGGGTAAGCCCATACACTAGAGATCAAGATATGATGCCTGTATACCTCAAGCCCATTTCCTGAAGTTTTCTTTTCAGCTGCACGTTAGAAATAGTGCTAACATATCCAGTGCTATGGTTTGCTTTTTTTTTTTTTCCTTTTCTTCCCCACATGCACCAAGGGCAAGAGAATGTAAAAAGCTAGTTCAATTTACTAAGTTTTACTAGCTACAGCAAAGAGCTTTGTGGCTTAACTGGTAGCCATGTCACAGAGTTAATCACAGTTAAAACTAATAAACTAAAAAAGTTACAACTAATATACTAATAAAGTCTCCACCACTGTAAGCCCTTAACAATTATGGAAGAACAATAGAAAAATACTACAATCTAAAAAAATGGAGGAGTGTTCAAGATCATATACTGCTGTTTTGCTAATGTGTTAATTGGTATGTTGAAGTAATAGAGCAGATTTAGAAAAGACCGTGAGGATTATTTATGCACAGAAATTATATTATGCATAGAAATAAGTTTATAAAGAAATGTAGGCTAACAGAGCTCAATTTGTTTAGTTTATCAAAGAGATAAGCGAGAGTTTGATTACATGATACAATTGTCTTGTGGGGAGAAGGGCACAAAAGGAAGACAAATTGAACTAAAACCTCTGTCATGGGAGAAATTAAACATTCCCTTCAGCATATCTACAAAATCATTTGAAAGCTTTCCCCAGAAGTGTTTAAAAAGTTACCTTTTTCTATTTGAACTTTACATTTTAAAAGGAGCATGTCTCAAACTGGCTATAGGGAATCAGATTTTGTAATCACTTTTAAATATCTAGACTCATTTTACCTTTAACATTTAGCATTTCCCCAAAGTATTGCTGGAATAAACACATGGACAGCTGGTATGCTTGAGCATGGGATGATAGGGTAAAAGACAACTCTACAAGCTATGAAGTAACTGTGCAGGGAAAACCTGAGTGAACTTCACAGTCCTCTGTTCTACAGATTATTCTGTCAGTCATAAATGCAAGCCCTATGGCAGAGGCTCTTACCTAGATTTCCAGGCAGCTGAGACCCTTCCTGAAAGCACTTGCTAGGCTGGAGCTGTTGTTTATGCCTTTTTGCCAGGGCAGAGGCACTGCACTTGATGAGAAATAGCACAGGGAGAAATAATAATCCTTCTGTGATTTTCAATAAAAAGATAAGTTACTTGACAATGAACTTTAAACCCCCATAAAACAAGCTGCTGTCCAAATGAAGAAACGCCCTGGGAAATACCAAAAATCAGGCTGTAGAGGAGGAGATTCCCTGGTAAGGTTCTTAGTAATTTCAAGGAAAAGAAGTTTGCTGCCCACACAGAGCAGTGCTCCTAAAATGAGCACTGCAAGCTCTGCTTACTCACTTCATGTTTATAGAAACTGGCCTACTGAAATCAAAGATCAACCCCTATTGACTTAATTGGCTATTAAGTATAGAGACTCTGAGAGGACAGACGAGTCATGTAGACATAAAGATGTGCATCTAAATCACAAACACACTGGGAACCTGAGGGGAATTTCCAGGAAAAAATACAGAAGTGCAGAAGTGCTGTTGCAAGATGATCTGTATTTCTCTCCCACTCATCTCTTTTTATTCCTTCTAAGAGACTACAGAAGAGAGGAAAACAGCACAAGAGCTAATAAATCCCTCACCCAAGCAGGCCTCACTCAAGCCCACTCAGAGAAAGTCATAAGGCAGAAATACTTTTTCGGGTCTGACCAATCGTTCCACTATGGCTATATGGTTCCAGCAGTGAGTGACTACTTAAGGTCAGCATGCAAAACTGGCATGAGGAATATCTGCCTATTCCCTGTAGTATTTGTTCTTGATGCTTTAGTTCTTTATTTTTTTCACCATTTCCCTTCTAAACCAATTGATACTGCTTTCCATCACAATCTTCAGCAATAGCAGCTTCCAATTACTTAGTGCATTAAGAATTACCTTCCATTATTTCTGTTAAACTGGTCTCCCACCCGTCCAGGGGTCCTGCAGTCCTGGCATCACATGATTTAGCAAACAAGTTCTGCATTTCTTGTTTGCTATTAACTGCTTTCACAATTTAGAAAACTTCAGTCATATCCTCTCTTTCAGAATTCTCTCCAAACTGAAACATCCCATGCATTTTTTCTTTTTTTTCCCAGGTCCTCCAGCAACAAGAATTATATCCAGAGATATGCCTGACATTATGAATAAATCTGCTTGGGATTACCTCCAAGAAATTTATGTCATGAGCCCATCAAAGCTCTCCTCCTCCTCTGTCTTCAATCTTTTCTTCACCCTCCTACTTCAAGCTCATATTCCTTCAAGCCAAGTCCACATTTCTCTTCTTCTACTACACTCCCACTTTCCAAAGCTCCCATTCCAACTGTAGACAAGCACAGGACCCTGCATGAAACCATTTACTGTTCACAAAGCACTTCTGAACATGCTATGAAGAAGACACAGAGATCAGTACCCCACCTAATCCTGCAGCTAGCTATCAAAAGGCATCTGTTTGTTTTGCTGTTGGGGGCAGGTGCTATCATTTGTAGATAGTAAATAAAAAAAAAACAGAGAAATTCCTTTCATACATATTTCTGATCTTGCATTTTCATGCAAGTTTGGAGCAACCAGCACCCCATTCTTGTGCCTAACACAGTGGTTCAGGGCAGCTGGGGGTAAATGTACTCCAACACCTCAATGCCTGATCACTTAATACTGCTCTGTACCTTGTAGAGCCTTATCTTCAGTGAACATCACTAACCACACGAGTCAAAGCAGCACTGCTGGCAAGGATGTAGTGGAGAATAACATTAAATTCCACTTCTCATTCCCTCTCATCTTTGCCTCTGCACACAAGACCTACTATTTTCATAGGCATTTTCCCAGCACTGGAAAGAGAATGTGATGAAAAGAGGTACTAATGAGGGTAAAGCATACTGGCACTGATTGTCAGGCAAGTGATTTGGTTTTCCACAGCAGCCTGAGAAAGACATTACTTCAGAAAACAACCACCACCATGGCTAGGTTGTATAGATTCTCTCTGCTTAGGTAACTGCCTGCTTTGCTTGTGCCTTTCCCAAGAGAGCTTCCCATGATTATAGAACTTGCTAGGATAGTAAGCTAAGGATAGTAAGCTTTCAGTAACTCCTTCTACAGAAATGTGCATAAGAACTACACAAGATTTCTCTTTAGTAACACTAAACTACGCCAAGATCTCTAAGTTTACACATATCAGAGGAAGTCCACAGGTAAAAAGTAACTACATTTTCAACTAACAAAATCACAGCAGGTGATTTCTGGGTATGAAAGTATGAAAGCAAGTATTGTGACAACATATTAAGCAAGAATCACTATGGGGATTTAAAAGAAACACACTGGTAGTATTTTGTAGTGGAAATCTCTAAAGCATACTTACTGGCAGCTTATATTCTAAATAAAGGGTCTAATTTGTTCATTATGAAACATCAGAATCTTGTCACTGATTTGTGAATGACAAATTCCCATAAAAATGCTTCAGCTGCCCTAAAACTATCTATCTTATAATCCCAGCCCCTTCCTCTGTAATATTTATAATAATGTTTCACTAACTAAAATACAATGCTTCACAAATGAGTCTTGAGATATTAAATTAATTTAAAATAATCAGATGTGTATAACCGAGTGATTGTGTAATTTCTTTGAAGGTACACAGTTTACAGCAAAATAAGTGAAAAGAGAACATTTTCCAAACATTGCCACAAGCAAAAAGACTGTATTAAAAACATTCAATCTTAAGAATAATACAAAATAAAATATTATTAATCAGTAAGTTCAAATAATGCTTATTTATATTATTGAATTAACAACATGTCTATGTACAGCTGCAGAGACTGCAATTTTACAAACTGATATTCAGTTAAACATATTTGTAACAATTTATACACTATGTACAAACCTAGTTCTCCAAGGAACTCTAGGTTTAGCATGCTCCAATACAGAAGTGCTATACCTACTCCTAAAAAAGGATGCTAACCTTCCCTTTAATTTAAATTCTGAAATACCTCTTAAAGCCCCCCAAAATTTCATTTGCTATTTCATGGTACTGTTCTCAAATCACTTGTTTGTTACCATGTTTTGGAATAGGTATAGAAAGAGTCACAACAATAAATAACATTGCTTATTATGAACTATTCAGATTCATATTCACACAATCACACTTTCAGCCTCAATGCTTTAACAAGACTGTAGGATCCATTTATCTTTGCTTTTCTTGACACGTAGATCAAAATTGCAACCACAGGTATAGCTACTGCTGTTACACAGGAGAATGCAATAATCAGGGGCATTATTTGATCTGGCTTTTCCAATTTCCCTGAAAATGGAGACAAAAAGATACAAAAAGTTATATGAGTATATACACAAATTTTAATGTATAACTAAAAGTGGAGTTATTTTAGTGACCTTAATTGGAATTTTTTCAGTTTTCTTCCACAACGCACATTTCAAAACCTTTTCCTTGTTTCTCTTTTCTTTAATAACTCCACAGTACCACTAAAATTCTAGCCAGTCTGGGTCTTGGACGTGCTATACAAGTTCAAACACACTTAATATCATCAACAATGAAGAATATCATGAAGTTCCTGAAGAATAACAAAAGAATACTATCTACTTCACCCAGTAAACAATATAAGGATACTTCCACCTCCTGGAAACATAATGCTTCAGAAGAAGATCATGTTTAACAAGCTCAATATTTAGATCTCTCTGGGTTAGCCTCACAAAATGCACAGGAAAATGGTTAGAATCCACCTTTTTCTAACCCTGTTCTTAGAGCTGCAGTGCCAACTAATGTAACAGAGACAACATCCGCACTATAAGAAGGTTAAATAAAGCAGATCCTCATCAGTTGCTCTGTTATTTCATTTGATTTCTTTTGTGGTTTTTTTTTCCTGTTCTTGCTTCAGGGTCTTTTTGTTAGGTTAACTTCAATATTTTTGTGCAAAGATTAGCTGAAAACTTTTTTTGCCTACCTTAACACAAAACCTACTAGAACATACAAACAAAATAAGTTTAGGCAATAGATTTACCTACCTACAACAGCTATCTCTATCACTTTGATGTTGTTTCCAACCTCATTGAAAACATCAAGCAAATATCTGCCTGTATCATTTTTGGTGACATTGTAGAGCGTAAAGGTTCCATTGACTACAGGTAGAATTATTTCTTTCTCTTGATTAACCTTTTTCAGGATCATCTGTGATGGTGGGTTACTGTATGTGCTGCACACAATAGTGATATTTTCTCCTTCTTTAACATTTTCCGATGGATAAACTAACACAGTAATATTCTGAGGAGGAACTGACAAGAAACAAAGGTAAAGTTTAGCAACAAGACACTACTCTGTCACCAGCTATCCTTAAAACAGTGTAGTCAACAGCAGCTGACAGAAATAGCATTTTATAAATTGGTGGGGTATTTTGCTTATCTTTTACATTACATTGAACCTTTTCTTCTCTGGTTTTAAATTCACTGTTCAATCATTTGTGTTCATGAAAGGACACAGACCAACAGACCCAGAGGTTGATGTGCTCTCTCAAAAGAAAAGAAATACTAAGGGCAAAGAATCCTAAAATAGTATCTTTCCACTAAGTTCCACAATTTTAAGTCCTGTTTTCAAAGTCTGGAGGAGAAGTGGATTTATAAAATATTTTGAAGAAGTGATTATTTTGTGCTCTGAAATTCAAGACAGAAGTTCTCATAACCACTAATATCACTTACACAAGAAACTATCCAACACATCTCAGTATTTTTAAAGACATTTCATTGTCATCTCATCCATCCAAAAAAAAAATCATAATATTAACTCTGTATAATAGTTATTTTAACTGACCTTTGACATCAAGTTCTACATCTAGAGAATGATTTCCAAATTTGTTAGTGAATGTGCACTCATATTTTCCTGCATCCTTTAGCTGAGCCTTGTCTATGGTGTATTTGCCATCTTCTGTTTTAAGGGTTGTGATCACATCACCTGTTTTCTTTTCTAGGATAATCTGAACAGCTGGGACACCTGTAGCTGTGCAAGAGATGGTAACACTTTCTCCTTCTTTCACTGAACTCGATGGGAACACTGTTAGTGTTGTATTTTTTGGTGGAGCTACAAGGAAAAAAAAAAAAAAAAGAAGTTAAAGAGATGGATTAGTGCCAGAAATGAGCCTTACACCTACACAACATGATTGTTGTCATGCAATAAACAGCAGCAGCGGGACTAAAGCAGAAGAATACGCTTACTACTGAAATGAAACTGCTGTAATTGATTATAGGTTGAGGAGTCAGCACTTGGCATAGCCTGAATGGAGACTGCAAGAACAAGATACAAAGTAGTAACTGAAAAAAAAGAGAAAGATGCAATATAATCTCCACAGAAAATCTTCAGAATGTATTTTCTACTTGCATAGCATGCTTTTAACTGGATCCTATACCAACAGTACAGAATACAGGTACCTCTCTACATAGCTTCTTTGCCTCAAACATACATTTGCCATTGAAAAGGAGTGAGGGAAATTCAACTTCATATAAGTTATCTGCACTAAAGATTTCACACTTCATTATTTTAAGCTACCTAAATAACAATGGCACTAGGGCCATCCTTTGACTCAATTTTCTCTTATTATACTTGTGCTCCAAATATTGCAGAACTTTTCACTGAACCTTCTACAACAGTTCAAGAAAAAAAATGTTTCTATACAATGCTCTGCTGGGAAAAACCCTCCTCCATAGATTATTTTAAGGAGAAAATTTTACAGAGTAGACATAATGCATAATAGTGAGTAGAGAGTTCTTCTTCCACCTGATGTTTCTAAATTGCGGAGAATACAAATATGTGGTAAAAATAAGTATGGGAAAAGTGAAATAACACAACGTGGAATGTGTCGATAAGCTATTCCCAACCATTTAAAAATAATAAGTTATTTCATTTCTGCATAGGATAAAATAGAGCTAAAGTTAGAGGGTTTTAAAAATATCAGGAACTGCTCACCCAAGTATTTGGTCATTTTAGTTTGTGTCCCAGATTCTATCTGAAACATTTGGCTCTACTGAAACAGTAGCAGTAACATTGATAATAACAACAACAAAATATAATCCTTTTGATTACTTGTCCAAAGCAGAAGACTGAGATGTCCCTATGAAATTGCTATGGACACTGACATTTCAAGGGAATAACTGTCCCCACAGCACTATTTCTTCAGGTTTCTTTATCGCTTTGAGTGTTGCTTTGTAGTAAATGTATAGAAGCACACATGCATAGCAGTAGAGAATTATCTGAAAATTAAGCATAGAAATGAAAACCATAGCCCATAAAGAACAGCACTGAATCAAAAGTTAAATTCTGAAAACATAAAAGGAAAGCCCTAATATTTAATTTCCTATTTATCAATGTTTCAGCAACTTTCAACTCAATACGCAACCACAGACTAGTTACTGAATAATAGTTAAATGCAATTAGACTTGTACCTTGTATAACAATGTTCACAGAAGCTTTCTCAGTTTTATTAGTTACAGGATTAATTACTTCACAGATGTACTGTCCTGAGTCAGTGAAATGGGCATGAGGAATAGAAAGAACATTGTTTTCTACGAAGTGCTGAACGGTTTCCTTTTCCAGATATTTTCTCCAAAATACTTGTGCTGGTGGATTACTCTCAGTCACACAAGTAAGTTTCAGAGAGTGTCCTTCCATTGATAAGTTTCCTGGAGATGCATTAATGAAAGTATTTTGTGGACCAACTGGAAAAGAACAAAAGAAAGATAAGGTTAGCATGTTAATGGAGAATGATATGCACATCTTTAACATTAAAAACTTCTCTACAGTTATACTGCACGCTCTACCAAGAAAAAAAAAGCGATACAGATGCCAGTGACACAGTGGAATGATTTTTCCAGACTTGATAAGACACTGAGTTTGTAGGTTTGAAAGCTAAGCTAGGCACAATGGATACAAATAACTTGTTTTTCTATTTACTCTTACACTTGTCTCCCTATTGCTTAGGGCTACAAACTTGAAACTGCTAAGCATATCAAGGGAATTTTAAAAATAATTGTTTATCTGGATACTATTGTTGTTGTTCTTATGATCTTCACTTTCTGACTGAGTACCAGAGCCCTGGGTAAGAGAGTGACAGATGAATACTTACAGGACAGCCTGAATTCTGAACAACAGTAGGTATCTAAGGCAATGTGCATAGGTTTCTCACTAACTGTTGCTGAATAAAACCATTTAACTTATATGGCCTAGGCTTCAAACCTGAAAACACAATCTATTTCACAAAGATGTTAGAAGACTGTGCTCAGAGATAGCATTTAATAAATAAAACGTATATCCTACTTTTGATATTTTTGCAACTAAATATAGATACTAGAAAATAGATTATGTAAATACAAAGAAGTGCAGATTACAAATGCACAAACCTCATAAATCCATTCCACAAAATATAGCATCAAGCACTATTTCATATGAAAACCCTAATACAAAAACACTTACAGTTTGCATTCAGTTTCAGAGAAGTTGACCTTTCTTTGGGCTCAAAGTCCATACCAGCAATTTGTAATCTGGCCACACAAGTAATCTCTTTACCATTGTCTTCAGTCGCGAGGTTAAATGAGTATGCCACAGTTTTGGTTTCTGTTTTTGTACTGACATCTCCTTCAAAAGTTTTGCTATGAAGAATATGTTCCTCTTTCTTTAAGAGTAGTTCCAGGTGATCAGCAGGAAACACATCATGAACTTCACAGATGACAGTGGCAGTTTCTCCAACAACTAAAGATGCAGTGGTCTCAATGACAGGATCACTGGGAAAAGCTAAAAGAACAAAGCCCACTTCTTTAGACTACCGGAGATGGGCCCTAGACTCAACATCAGAGCAGGGTCCAGACATTAAACAACTCGAGTTTAAAAGTGCATATCAACTTTATATCAACCTTACATCAACTCTATAACAAGACATACCTTGATATGAAGACATATAGGTATTTTATAAGCAGTTCACACACTAAGAAGAAATGCATTTGTACGATTTTTTAGAATATGATCACAAATTATTTAATGAGATCCAGCAAGGCACCTAATTAGTGACACAGTTACCTAAATATGCAGAGGGATCTATAACAATGGATATACTAGTAGCATCCCATTTTTCATACTGGCAACTTTAGACATCTGAATTGTAAGCCTGCATGCTGCCAAGACTTTGATTAAGTGCTCTGCACATGAAGGTTTCCCATGTATGTCCATCTAAACCACACAGTTTCTTTCTGTTCCACTTCTATAAATGTTTGGGGGAGCCTATGTACTAGCTTTCAAGTATTATCAAGAATGAAAATATACAGTATTTTTAGGGTAGAAAGCTAAACAGAAAGGAGCTGAGAAGAAACAGATAAAGGAATCTTTACAAGAAAATGTATGTTGAGTTATATCAGACTCCTTACCCTAGTACTATCAGACAACTGCCATCTACCATATCTAAGAACGATTCATTTATTTTTAAAATATAATTTCTTAGCAAATGAGCACTACTTAAAGAGAATTTTTACTTACAGTAAAGTTCAACTTTGACACTCTTCTCTTTTTTCTCTTTATTGCAGATGACAGTACATAAATAATCGTTATAATTTTCAGCACTAACTGGATTCATAGTCAAGGTAGAGTATGTCTTGTCGTTGTACACTTTTCCTCCAAGGGGGTAGTCCATTTGGGTTCTCCATGAAAACTTTGGTAATGCACAACCAGTAGTATTGCATGTGAGTCTCAGTGTTTCACCAATCCGTGCAACAACTCTGCCAGCTGGGATAACTTCCATTTCAAAAGCTTTAACTACAACAGGGAGAAATATACATAAACTCAGCAACACTGTTAAAATTCCTGTTTTCTCACGGCCTGTGACATTACAAGTTTACATTTGTGTGGAAGTTAAACTAATACAGATTGTACAATGGTTTATATCTTCAAAATATCCCATAAAAATTGCTTTTTTTTTTCCCCCCTAAATTAACAGCCTGAGATGACCCTAGCAGACAGTTCAGATGCATAACATGCATAAATCACAATATGGCCAGTGAAAATAGAATCATAGGCATAATCTAATGTTTCTAACCAGGCAGGTCTCACTGTAAAACTCTGTAACATTTGAGGGAACGGATAGTAAGTAACTTTCAAGAGAATATCTGGTATCAAACTTGATTGATACTGTCAGAGATGACAGTAAAAACCAAAATAATGTTAAATAATACAGTTGTCTCCTAGACAGTCTTTTAGTCAAATTCTGTAAGAAAGTGACCATGCAGAGAAAAGCTACAAATAAACGCCAGAAATAAACTTCTTGACATTCTGAAAGAACTACCTAATTAACATTGTATTCACTGAAATGTAAAAGCAAATGCAACAAAGAGAAATAACAACAAAACAGTAAACTGTAGTTCACTTTACATTTGATAAAAGATGAAAGTAAATGAAGCAAATAAACCTCCCCAACTTACCAGTCATTAATACATACAAAATAATTAGCACAGTTTGGCTTGTTCTTCCCATCTGTTTTAACATTTATAATTGCTGTTATTAGGAAAATAAAGTTTGTTCAAAAGCTTTGCTCTCTTTCCTACAAAGAAGTACACTGAGAGGCTGCTGTTCTGCAACTGTGAGCTGCTGCAAGTGCTCTTTATAAAGGCTTTTCTTTCAGTGGAGTGGGAAATCCCCGCACGGGGAAATCCAGAGTAGGAAGAGATCCCTGTGTGGTGGCCTCAGCGCCCTCTGCTGCTTTTTTTCCCCCTTTCTTCTAAATACAAAATTTAAAGTTCAGGATAACAAATATTAACACTTGCAATATAGTTCTTAGTACAGTTAAAAATAGCAAGACAAGATCTGATCCTGCAAACATTTAATAAAGCAAATGGCTATGGGTAATTGTAAGTAATTGAATGGGACTATGTGATGGAAATGTTATTCAGGTTTGTTTTCAGTTCAAATATTTTTGTAGGACTATGTCTTCTGAGAAAACTTTTCACAATATTATTTTATGAATAATGTTCCCTAATACAGTATTTTCTTTGAAGACTACTACCACTCTCAGAGGTTTAATTTTAATCCCCCAAAATGGCGTTAGCTAACAGAAGTCTGCAGATTTAGATAAAAGCAGCAGGAAATTCAGTGCAAAACATACTTGCTTTTAAAATGTGTTAGGAAAATCAACTGGTATATAATAGTTTGGCTGTATTTGACATCTATGAAATATCATCATGAAGCAGATTTTAAAAAGAGCATAGCTTTCTTTTGCTATTTTGTAGATGAGTAATAAATTGGAAAAATAAAGGCTGAAGTAATAATGCCATCAATGTTCAATAAATTTACTTGCTGAAAAGTTAGCACTACACCGACCTAATACTTTTTGAGCCATGCAGATTTTACAGTCAAATCTAATACAAGCTCTAAAATATCATATTCAGGTGACAGTAGGACCAGAAAGTACTACAGAAGTACTGCAACTGACCCTACATTTTCATCCTCAAAGGATGGTTGGACAGTACAAGCTGCTTTAGAAAACAAAGCACACTGTGATAATTATGCTTATGTCTCTCTCAAAGATCTTGCATTAGGTAAAATAATAATCTTCTTTTTTTTTTTTTTTTTTAAACACACAACATAATCACATACGAGAGATGTAATGATTTGAGGAAGTTGAAATTGTAATCTCAGGCTGAAAACATATCTCCAAAACAAAAATAATCAATATTGCTTACTCAATATAAGCAATAAACAAATGAACAAAAGAATTACCTAAAAGAAATAAAACAGGAAAATATGAAGCAGCTAAGAGAGCCTAAACAAAACTCACTAAAGCTGAAACTATCACAGTGGATTATCCCATAATATATTAATTTATTATCATTATTATTGTTTTTATTAGAGGGAAAAAAAAATTCAAAATTGTCATGAAATACATGAAAACCACTGATACTACTGTTCATAAAATCCAGGAAAAAAAACCCCAAAACCAACAACAAAATCTGTCTGGAGTAGATAATAGCACCACAGAATGCAATTTCACTTCACACATCAGGTTTTGTTAAAAGGAAGCATATTCTCCCAGTTGAGTTGCAAATAAATACTTTTTAATCACAGGTAGAGAGAAATAAGAGCTGAAGCTCCTCTGTTTTAACAGCTTAATAATCACAATCTAAGCTGAGGGAGAAAAGGCAAAATTTCCCTGTTTCTGGGAAGCTGGTTTCTAGATACAAGAAAATACAAATATAGAAGGCTTATTCGCATGCTGGAAAAACTATAATCAAACCCTTCATCAGATAACATGGAACAGGAAATATCTCTGTTCCAGCTTCCACTAAATTAAGCTGGACAGCTGCCATTAACTTTACAGGAGTTGGATCCCCACCAGATTTATCTCCAACAGTATAGGTAAGAGCAAGATTAGACCATATGTAGTAAAGGACATACAGTTCTCCCAAGATATTCAGAAATTTCTTAAAATTTGCTCTTTCCCCCATCTCAGATGTGAGCCTCCTTAGTATTCTGAAAAGAACATATACTTACTGTTGCCTGTACCATCTTCAGCATCAAGCTGCAAATAGGAAATCAGATATCAAGTTTGCTTCGCTGCTTCACCCAAAAACAGAAAGCAGCTGACAAATTTTAGGGATTTACAAGAGTTCAGATAAACTAGCTTTTTATTCAAACATCACAGAGGACTACGCTGGTGATAAAAAATAGAGGTACATTTACAAGTATTACACAATCAACTGTAAGAAATTCTGACACATGCAGAGCATAATGAATGCTGGAATGTAACCAGTATTAAAAAAAAAAAAAGGCACATGCAATTAAAAGAACTAAGCACTGGAATGTAAATACATGTTTTCCAGTATATCTAGCAATCAAAAGATTCTTTTCTCAGGCTTTGGTGGACAAACCAAGATGAAAAAAATGGTCTCTGAAGGCAGTTTGAAAATACTGCACACATCATTTTTGGCCTGGTATCAGAAAATACAAACATCCTTCAGGAAACTGAAACTTAGCTTAGACTTGCTCTGGAATGTAAAAGAAAACTATTTCAGAACTGTGATAAGCATTTGCTTTAATTCAATACTTCTACAACCCTATTAAATATTTAAGATAAATTTCATTTAATTTCCGCTAGACAAAAGAAATCATGACTTCACAATGACTTAAACGAGCTATTCGAACAAAATATGCATTATGCAACACTTTAATTATTTAACATTTCAAATACTCTTCACTACATTTCTCATGTCTCCTGCACTGGAGGCTATTCTGAAAGCTGAAAGGCTAAAAGTCATGCAGAATTTGGTATCTTAAAACCTTTGCCACTTTTTCTGTGGTTTTTTTGTGATTTATGTCCAAGGACCTATGCAAAAGAGTGTTAGTCCTCTTCTCTTGGCAGAGGGGATTAAAAAAAAAAAATAGAAGAAAAATGGCTTAATCAGACCTATTTCCTATGCCCATTATAAAATGCCTATGGCACTTCAGCCCAATATCAGCATCTACAGTCACTTTTTGGGATTTCTCCTAAAAATACCTACTACTGGAGTAATTACTTCTACATAGGGCCTCAACACTGAAATATATTTATCATATTTACATTTATTACCAAACATCTTAGTGAGGAATCATGAACATGGAGTACATGCATTAATATTGCTGCCCTATACAGCAGACAATCTGCTAGCCTCAGCTTTTCAGTTCACAATGAACTGACAACAGTCTGCTACACGTGTCACATACTGTTTTTCCTTCCTCGGTGCCCACTGGCTTTTCAAACCTAGCACTTCCTTGACCCTTTTCTTTCTTTAACTCCCTTCAACTTCTTGCTTACCACCTGACAATAGTACAATTTCTGCATAGCCCCACGCTGGGGAGGAGAGTATCACTGACTCCCTATAATTTTCATACCTGGATGGGAAGGATGAGATCTACTTGCAGGTCTATTTAAGAGGTTGTGTCTTTTTCCAGGATTGTAGCTTTCGTCTAACTACAAACAAACATATTATCCTGTAACCCACATAACATATTAAATTGTGCTCCACATCTAACTTGTCATCTACTGAAAAAAAAAAAGGTAAAATAAGACACGAGAAAGATTTATCATGTTTCTTTCTCTTCTCTGGAATTTCTGAAATACTTTATATACAGTTCCTTCTTGATCTTTCTCAGGCACCAGTTCACCAGCATGCCATTTCCTGTTTGGTTAGTTTAACTGCACAGCATTTGAAGACACCCAGAATACAAATAAAATGCCAGATAACATGATATAGAAGTGTGATAACTTGCATAGGCAACAAAATAGCTAATTTATTACTTCTACTCAGAGGCATTGTCTCTTTGATTTCACAGAAGGAGCAAAAAGTTCATTATCAAAAAAATAACAGCTAATAAAAAGTCCCTACTTTTTTTCTTAGTTCATGCTGGCAGAAAAGAAAAAAACAAGCTCTGGAAATTCCAAGTTTCATTTCTGAAAAAAGAATATACCATTTGAGTGGCACTGGATCTAAAAATGAAACCATTTTATATCCTTTAAAACCACTTACAGTAACTGAGCTTCTATTGTCTTCATAAATACATATGTTGGGAAAAAAAAGCTTTCTTCCTGAAATGTGCTCTAGCATCAAATATTAAGCATGTATCAAGAGCCAGATTCAATATGAAATTCAGAGTATTCAAAATCTTGTTGTGAATTTTGATGCAAGAGCTCAAACCTACTTTTATTTTGAGCCAAATACACTGAGATATGATCAAGTCATTTACTCTTACTGGAATCACAACTCTTCAGACAAAGTTTATTCAACATAGTCGGAGTAAAGAAATAAAGAGGAATTTGGGTCAAAGTGCAGACCCTGGGTAGGACCCAGGATAGAGCAAGATAAAGTAAACTGAAAACACTTAGAGAACATGACTGAGTTACTTAATTCTCTCAACATTCCATGTGAAACCCCAATACCAGTAAATTTGTTGTATACTTCATTAAGGCCAACATTTCACATCATCAGATGAAGCTAATCAAGAAGAGGGTGAGGAGAACTACTGACCAACCTTTGTTATTACTTGCCAGAAGCTCATCTCCAAAGCATTTGTACGTATTGTACCATGCAAAAATGGAAATCAGTTACTTCTTATTTCCCGTCTCCTTGCTCCTCAGTCATGAGGGTACATGTATGTCCCTATGGAGCCAGAAAGGAAAAGGAGAATGAAAACAACAAGTTCTGTAGCAGATTGTTCTAACTGGATCAGAAGCCAGATAGCACCCATGAAAAACAAATTCAGAATTCTGACTCTCCCAGACAGCCTACTGATAGCTGCACTGCTGCTGCTGATCTTGAAACTTGTCTATCACAGACTATTCTTTATTCTCTTATGATGGTTCTCATTCTGAAGAGCTGCGTTCAGCTGTATAGGTGTCATTTTTGCTGCAATGTGTTATATAAATGTTATCTTGGAAGTTACAAGTAGACTGCCTCATTAACAGATAGAAGTATTACATGGATGTCAGAAATAGTTAAATGATTTTACATTGCACAATTTGAGTATCATCATTTTCAAACCTTCCATACAAGAAAGATGATGGGGGATGCAAAATCTACTTACATTTAGCTGGCAAATACATTTCTTTTTTCTAGAAACAGCCACTT